AGCAAGCACATTCCTACGATAATGATGACTCAGTGGTAGTTCGATGGTTGTAGGCAATCCGAATCGGCATTTACTTTGTTATCCAATCACTACATTGAACGATTGCAGCTCAACGATTGTAGCGAAGGCAGTGATGTATTGGCTTATGCACCACTGTAGCGAACGTAGGGACTGTAGCGATTGTAGCGAACGCAGGTCAACCAGTGATCTATTGGCTTATGCACCATTGTAGCGAACGTAGCGACTGTAGCGAACGCAGGTCAACCAGTGATCTATTGGCCCCCAGGCCCCTCCCCTAAATCCGCCCCTGTGTTATAAGACAACATTCATATTCATGGACGTTTTCCAGTATGTCAGTCACTAGGTTAACATTAAGTTTCACCTGCGTTCCCTTCTTCTAAATGTTAAAAGGGTGCATATTTTGTGATGTTTATTTAACTCGAGTGCCCCCTCTGTTTTTGGAAAATCGTGATTTCTTTCTTGTTTCAAACAGTATCCTTGCTAGATACCAATATATGAAAAGCAATCAAAATCAAATTCATGCAATCAATGCACTTGTTTTCAATAGTTTAGGAGAGTAGAAATTGATATACCTGTCATTTTCCATATTTCAATTCATGCGAAAGTTTCCCGCCATTTGACCGCTGGCGCGGCGCCAACCAATGGTATGTTATCGAAGAATCTCAATGTTTCTCTGCTCTTATCTTTCGGAATTTCACACGCACCTGCTCTGATCTGTACACGGTGCTATCCAGCGAATCCAGCGACAGTAGTGCGAGCATCGCAAATATGAGTGCCACAAAGGTAAGCATGGTAGACTAGATCTAAGACATCACTGATGTCAACAATATTCAGCCTACTCTATCTGATATGTCATAGAATAACGATCAAGAGCACGTGGGTTTTGTGACAAGAGATGGCGAGACGTACATTGAAACGCCGCAAGAGTTTACGCCGTTAGCGGACTTCACCATCAAACTTGTTGGTGAATTCCATTTAGCTGAACAGCCGCAAACAGGTCCTTCGTGCGAAGGGAAATGGCTAGCCTCTGTTGACGGCTTCATTTTCGGCAACAAAGTAACAAGGTATGTTAGGGGCGGGTTTGCACTACACTAAGCATTTTACGATTTTTTTTATTTTCGTGAGTTGCGCCTCGAATGGAAACCGTGTTTGCAGTAGGTTTTTATGAACCATAAACCAATTTTCTAATTTCATACTTTTGTCGACCTTGCACAAAAATATGGAATGACACTGGGAATGACTATTTAAGTAAGGTTAGCACAGGAAGCCCAAACTAATATATTATAGTACAATGTGGCGGACGAGACACTTTTCTTGTACGAAATCTTGCAGTTATATAATTGAAATACGTTAAGCATACTTGAAGATAAAATGCACAATTATAATCAAATAGCTTCAGCAAGTACTCTAATCTTTCTTTCCTAAGGTTAATAACTTTAAAAGCAAGCGACTTCGATTCTAAAAGGCAACTTCTGGATGCCACCCGAGGAAGCTTTCCTGGAGGGAGCCTGAGCTTTGCCCCAGGCATTAAAAATGATGAGATTCAGGAATATTGGCGATGGCTGGTCACGCAATATGATCCAGATGCAGTCATCAAAGTTTGGGAAACAACCATTCTGGGCATGCAGAAAGAGCAAGAGGGCTACTGGATCCTTAACAATGAGGTAATTTCTAAATTCTAGAACATTTGAAGTATGAGTGTTTTCATTTCCAGGAAAACGCGGATATCCATAAGCGTATAATAAAAAGAATGCACCGATCAATTAATGTCGATAACAGGTGCGGCTACGACGAAATCCGTCCATTTTCTTCTGACCACTGTTTTCATATCATATCACTAACCTTCTCCTAGAGAGAAACCGCAGTCTGTAGTATTTTGGGCTCAGATATCAAACCGATTAATGGCGGACGGGATTTTTACTACTTTCGAAGCTCGATTTCTCATATTCTTTTGACTTTGTCGATAAAAAAATTTGCCAGCATGCTTAGTTAGACTTCAAAGTACTGGATTTTGCACAAAAAACTCTTTGAAAAGAAGATTTTTTTCGTCGTAACCGCACATTTGTTGTCTTTAATATTTTTATTAAAGAAGTTTTAAAATGAGTTAATTTCTCTTTCACAGATCCACCTTCAAAATAACAATACAGTGGCTCGAGATTGTCGGAAGTATATTGTCAGCAAAAGTCTTGAGGGGGTTGCAACAACTGTACTTAACTATGACAACTAAACGGTTAGTTCTTTATCTTAATTAATTATCAACACTTGACACAATAAAAAAGTAAGGCTAAAAACAAATTAACATTTTTTATATTAATTATCTGCTCTACTTTGTGATTTCAATTTCCTTGTTGTTCCTGTTTATCATATCACTTTGTTTATTTTCAGGTTGCTAGATGCATCAATGCATTTCAAGTCCAATGCACAGAAGTTTCTTTTAAGTATGGGCTTTTGCCTTTCAAGGCTATTACGCTAATCGACAAGTGAAACTTGGAGTAAGGATTATGTACTTATTGACTGAGTGGGAGGCCTTACGGGAAAATATTTGGCTAAGGTTATGCCGTATGGAACGAGAGCAGCGAGGTCCGTACAAATGACCAAGAGCCAAATATTTTCCCATACAGCCCGACCGAACTCATTTCTTTGATGAAAAGATGTATAAAAAATAAAAGCGTGATGCACTTCAAGCCTGGAAGATACACGTTTGTACGGCCCTGTAGCGAAAAGGTGTACAGCCCCCATCACATGACCATTTCCTAAAGTTTTGTAAGAGTGCACATGATAGAGCCAAAATATGGGTCAGCTGAAAATGACTTCGACTTCAAAATCAACTTCAACTTGGATTAGGTTTATAATTACTCTGATTTAACTGTCATTGTGTCAAACAATGCAAGCACGTTGGTCGGTTGCTATCATGTTTTCTCCCGTTGCTATGTTCTGGGTCACGCGACACAACAATGGCTATCATGGGCTACTGTCTCACGGTTGAAGTCTCTTTATTGTTATCTTCCCTAAGAGCTTCTGTAATTAGTTTGCAGTGCTGAAATTGTGTCATTATTGAAATACAACTATGTGGTATTCGATAAAGTCGATAATAAAGTCAAATTTTTCAAGTTTTAGTAGAGATCTTTGCGTTTTTGCTAACCCCCTTCAAAGCATAAAATGATTTCTAGAGGCCTGGGTTTAAGCCAAAACCATCAAATAGAGGGCTGGGAGGGTAGGGGACATACAAACCTTTTGTTTTTACTTTGGGTACCCTAGTAAAAAGTATATATCGAGCGAGTTATTGCGCAAAGTTTAATTCCGGAATTTCTGTGCATTAACCTGGATATTTCGTTTCTAAGAGCCTAGGATTGAGTTTTTTAAAGTCAAAGTTTTAGCTTGATATATATCTAATCGAAACCTAGCGAGATTGGATTGAATACGTGAGGAAAAGAATGAGGAGAAATCTCCAAACATCGGTGTCTCGTAAGGCGCATATACAAGATGGCGGACCAAAGCCCTTCGACTTCTTGTAGAAAAAATCGTAAGTGCTCTAAGCTTCCTGGGCACAAGGGTCGTTGTAATAACGAGAAAAATATAAATCCATTTTGGGAAACATCAACGATCTATCAAGTGAACAGTAAGAAGAGAAAACTGCTTGAAGAGGAGCATCGTGTTCTTCAAGAACTAACAACGAGGGAGCTCTCCTTACAAAACCGAGAAAATCATCTATCGTACATCACAGAGGACATTCAAAAGAAGTTAAGAGACAAAGGTAAGAAAATTAAAATTTACTGTTGAATTCTCCTATAAAATATAGGTTCCTTTAAAACAAAATCCAGCTTTCAAACTCTACACAATATAAGCTTTAGCTTAAATGATTGAGTCTAAAACCAGACTTCAGATTTTTTATCTCCATCTCTTACGATGGCTTCCTCCCATAAACTTACATTTAAAGGACATGATGTTAAAGGATATGTAATTTATACACTAATTTAGTCTTCAGTTTTACTACATTGTACTATGATAAGTACTTAGGAGAGACTTATTGTATATATAGAACACCAATACAAGTTTTAACTTAACTTCAAATTGCAGTGATTATCGGCAGTGAATATGCCAGTTAATTTGGTTGTGTTTTAGAGTTAAATCTTTCCCACAATGACTAATGTTGACAATGTTTTTTCCTTAGATAATGAAATATTTGAACTTCAAATTACCTTGAAGAAGTATGAGCAAGCACGTAAGGAATCAGAAGAGAAAATATCAGTCCTGACTGCACAGCTAGAGCAACTAAAATGTATGATTACAGCACTGGGGCTAGACTACAAACATTTTTCAAAATCTAAACGACAGAGCAACAGCACATCCAAATGTATGATATCTGACTCTAATTCTAGCACTAGGTACAGACGTAGGAAGGAGACAGAAACAGCTTTGACATTTTTGCATGGAGGAGTCATAGGGTCATTCTATGGGGCACGGGACTACATTTCTACAAATGCTTCAAAAGAACTTGTTACTGAACTTATTGTTACATTCAAAAGAGGAAATCACCTGAAGCAATTGTTCAACAGTGCTATAAATGCACATCAAATGTCACCTGAATCTGTGAAGCAAGCAGTGGCAACTAAGTATCAAAATCATCTGTCACGTAGAAAATACACTCTTGTATGCAGAACGCAATCATCTTTCTTCGAACCAAACTCAGAGACATGGATACCTAGGAACATTTCATGCATGGGCATTAACTTAAGGCTGCCCAAGTCTGCATGCAACTCTGCAGTAGAGAAATTTGTGAAGGATTTAGACATTGGACATGTCACACAGCTACCTGATGTTGTAGGAGTTTCAACGACAGTCACAGGACTTGTAAACTTGATAATCGATTTGCACTTGAGGGTACCACACCTATACAAGCGACTTATTTGGTTTAATGACATTGAAAACCATTTCATTATGCAATTCTCAGATGACGGGGCCCCCGAAACAGGCCAACTATGTCTATTGGCAGGCTAACTTGTTGGAACTTTGGTAAGAGAGTACGAAGCTGTGAATACCAGTATCTGCTGCACTGTGTTAGTTTAGATGAGAAAAGCCAAGTGCTTGAGGATCTGTGGAAGCAGCACACTGACGAGATGGCGATTTTGGAGGGAAACAAATTTGTCATCAATGGACAAAAATGCACTGTTGAGTTTCAACCCAGTGCAGATATGTGTTGGCAAAGCTGGGCAAACAACGAGACAACACAAGCTGCAACATACCCCTCACCGTATGCTAATGTGCACAAAGGTAATGGTATTTAACAACACTCAAATCTTACAATTTTAACAATTTTAACAATTTTTTTAATTTTTTTTCCCATAATTAATAATCATTGTACATGTAATAGATTTTGATCATATTGTTGTTCATACATTTGTACATATATATGTACTTGGCTTGTAGGTTATTTTTATTTTTATTTACAGTGTATCTTTATTCAGGTAATGTTTGTACCATGGGTGGTTCTATTGGCTTTGAAACAAATGACACTTGGAAACCATACACAAATAAAGAGAGAGAGAGAGAGAGTCATGCCCAACAAGTTGCAAAGTTCCAATCTACTTTGAAGGATAGCTTATCTGACAGTACCAAACATGACAGGAAGCTCCAATACATGGCAGAGAATGGCATAAGGCAGCTTGGCTCTCCACGCATTGGATTGTTTGCTGACAGACAAAGACCAGAGCCACTTCACTGTGAGATAAATGCATGGCAGCAGTTGCTCAGTATTATTTATCTAGAGAGTGTACAAAGAAAAGTTTTTGACCAGTTTGTGAAAGTCTTAGCTGCTCCACCAATTGTTGCGCCTAATCCCGAACCTGAACAAGAAAGAGCTGTTGCTGGGTGCGGTTTAGTATTTCTTGTTCCTAGTATTAAAGAGCACTTCCAAGATGAAAAGAAGCGTTTTAACAAGATTCCAACTCGCTTAATTGGAGACCAAGCAATAGCAATTTCCAGGTATGGGTACCGCTTGGTTGATTGCCTTGAATACCCAGAGGAATCACTTCCTGAGAAGTTCAAGCGACTTGCACTTGGTCAAATTGTACTACACCTTCGGGATGCCTGTGCCACATTCAACAAGGTGGCAGTCACAAGATCGGATCTACTGGAACTTGAGGAGAACTGCAAATTGTATTTTAATTTACTTTGCCTGTTCTTCCCTAAGCATGTAAATGTTACATGCTGGACAGTGGGTTACGCCATACCTTATCATACATTTAAGCTATATAATGCATATAAAGTTGGGTATGGCATAATCTCACAACAAGGAAAATAGGCCAAGCACTCTGTAATCAAAGGTGACTTGAAACTGAGCAACAGATCCAACAGCACAAACAGAACAGGAAAATGGTGGCAAGTGATGAGAGCGAATTATGTGAGAAGCCTATATCTACCTGAGCATCAACCACTACCACAAACATACAAGTCTCACTTCAAGTCAAGGGTACCTACACATTGTTGTACTGCACTAGCATGTAACTGCGGTAGAAGTAAACAGGTGGACAGTGAACTTTGCAGTGTATGTATTCAGAGTGATGAAATTATTAAATCAGCAGAGAAGCAAGAATTCTCCCCTCAGCTAGTGGAGATATTCAAGCCACATGTATGTCATGAATCAGAGTGTGGTCAGCGGTTCGCCGACAAAGTGGACCTTGAATCACATCAGTCACTCCACACTGGAAGAAAAGTTGCCTTGAATGCAAAGAACCCTAAAGAAATGAGTGTTGGAGAGCTTAAAACAGAACTAAAAAGAAGGAATCTTTCAACAGGCGAGAAGAAGGACATTTTGATCAAGCGACTTGAAAGTAGTTTGTGGGTAGAGAATGGTAGTACTCTTTCAAAATCTTAAAAGAAGAAAACTTTTGGAATAAGTCCGTTATTGACAAGAAGTTTCCTGGGTTTTAAGAGAATATAAAAACTTCATTATTTATTTTGCATAAGTAAAGCTACTGTACATCAATTAGTCAGTAAAATAAACCCTGTACATCCAGACATCCAGTTTGTTTGTTGATTACATGCTGATATGTTAAGTTAATTAACAATAACTCTGAAAGGAAGTATTATCCACTGATAAAAAAAACAATGATTTATGCACATTTGTGTTCTTTGATTAAGTAATCTTTCAAAGTCTTAATGTGATTTTTTCAAGTCTTGATGGCCTACACAAAAACTCTATTTACAGCCTATCAAACAAGTTTCATGGGTTTCAAGAGCATATCAAAAATATTCATGATTTATTTTGCATAAGTAAAAAATGTGAAAAACAAATCATGAAGTTTTACTATGATCTTGAAGGCCAAGAAAATTATTTGATATACAGGACTGTAAAAAGAGATATTGTTTAGGCCATCAAGACTTCTTTTAAGAATTTTGTTTATATACCATATAGCAATGTTTTCATTCATATGTTTTTATTCATTATTGACTGCAGACTTGAATCAATTGCATAGTCATCTTCAGTATATCTCTGAATATAAAACGAAACACAGGCTTTCTGGGTTTTCATTGAATATTCGATGCAAAATGGTGTGGATTTTGACACAACTATTGTCGATTTCCCACTGTAAACCGAAATTGGTTTGCCTCCAGACGTAGATGGAACCTTCTTGAAGTGTCTTGTAGCAAAGAGTGTTTCTCCCGAGAAGCGAGCAGGCGAAAGGAGTCGTTTTAGTGATTTCATTTCTGTCAGAGTTATCACATGTTTAGTAACACTTTTAGTACTAGTAGTGTTTACATCGCACGAATATCCACGGCATAAAGTTAGTAAATGGCGAAATATTGCCCAAGGGAAGAACATTGACACTGGGTTTACTAGACCTGTGGCTTTTGATCTTGTAAGTCTTGACTTCATTGTCTTTCCAAGCTCAAATAAGTAAGAATCGTTGATGGGACCGACCAATTCGAGTTTATTCCCCACGACTTCTTCCAGCTGAGAGTCCATATTCAGCATCCCGTAATTGGGCTTTCCTTTCGCTTTTCTCACAGATTTGATCCATTCTCTTTCAACAGTAAACTTCATGTCAATAACGGACTTATTCCAAAACTTTTCGCCACGCTCTTGATCATCATTTGAGGCTTTTAAATCAAGAATTCTACTTTCGGCCGCCATATTGACAATAGCTGTCGATACACGCAATGGTGAATACCGCTGAAATTTAATGAGCCCGCACGAGTGGGAGATTTTTCGAGTCATTTGACCAACGTGAAGTAGCCTAATTTTCTACCTAGATATAATTTTGGCAAAATAATGCATGCATGCAAGTTATATGAGAAAATTTACTAAAAAACTAAATACTGAACAATAACTATTATTGCATTTTGTTTTTTTTTAGGCGAAAGTAATATAGGAATTATATATTCTAACGAAAAGAACTGTGGTAAGTCTCCAGTCCCTGAGACTTCTCAGCAAACTCCAAGGAATAAAAACTGATCAACATCAACTTCTGCTAACTGGGGGAAACCAGAACACTTCTGGTACTTGTCCGTAAGTTCTTTTGAATAACTTTCATTGTAATGTTAATATCATAGGAGATTTGATTTGATGTCATAATAGGTGTTTTGTGTGTATGGGAAGGTGTACTTACAAATAACAATTTATTTACTTTGTGATATATATATTTTATTGATTTTGTTCTATGATTGGATTACCTGTGTAATACCTAGGACATGCGCAGTAATTACAGTAAAAGGTTGATTCCACGTGCGAATCGTGTTTGGGTCTTTTCTTGACATTTTATCATACTTATTTCGAGATGGGATGCTAGGAACTACTGCTTCAATTTTCTACAAATTTCTGTGGTTTTCGTCAAGATTTAGCCCCAAAATATTCATATTTATTCACTGCCATGGCGAAGTCATTTTTTGGTTCGCTTGGAGAATTCGACTCAACTTCAGAGTTATTCGCGTCTTATCTAGAGCGATTAGAGCAGTTTTTCATTGCCAATGATGTAGGAATTGTCGCTTCTGATGCTCAGGAGGCAGTAAAGAAGGCTGCAGATCAAAAGAAGGTAGCTGTGATGATTTCTGTTATCGGAAAGAAAGCTTACAATAC